GGTGTGAACTCTCAAGTCTCAAATGTTCTTCCCTTTTTTGGTAAACAGATATGCAATGACCGGACAATTAAATGCCAAGAGTGATGTCTACAGCTTCGGGGTTGTATTGCTCGAACTTCTTACTGGTCGAAAACCTGTTGATCATAGATTACCTAGAGGCCAACAAAGTCTAGTCACATGGGTACTAATTTCTCTCAAACTTTACACATCTTTATCTTTCATAGCGCAATTATGACCATTGAAAACTGTTACATATGCATCAGGCTACACCTAAACTGAGCGAAGACAAGGTTAAACAATGCATTGATGCAAGACTCGGTAGCGATTACCCTCCAAAAGCTGTTGCCAAGGTATACAGAAAACCCAAAACTATCTCTGGACAATACTTTCTTACTCTTAAATCGCATTAACCGCTAGACCGTAATCGTTCTTATGTTGTATTCGATGATGAAACGCAGTTAGCCGCGGTTGCTGCGTTATGTGTGCAATACGAAGCAGATTTTAGACCAAATATGAGCATTGTTGTTAAAGCTCTTCAACCTTTGTTGAACGCTCGAGCCGTAGCTCCAGGCGAAGGATTGCATTAGACCACCACTTTTTTCCGACGCCTGAGTTTATTCTCTTCTTACTGGAAAACGAAAATTTGATTTCCATATACAACAATTAAACTTATAATGTGCATAGAAATCTCTGTAATGTTTATTTGTTAAATTTTTTCCTATAAACAAAATCCATTATCCTGCCCATGAATGACTCTCTCTCGTTAAACTTTTAGATAAAAACGAGAATCATATAAATTATAATATTACTCTTTTAACAAATTTTCTGCTAGGAACTTATAATTTGTATATAGATACTTTTGTAATATAATTTTCTTATAATTAACCTCACTAAATTTCCAAACAAAAATAGAATGAATGAGTGTCTTTTGAAGCTGGATCATGTAATGTCCGCAGATAAATAACGCCACAATTCACTCGTTATCATCCATTCTACATTTGAAAATAGTCAAAACCAGAAAACAAAAAAACAACCAAATTTAGCAAAAACCATATAAACATCTATATATACACACATAACCTCTCTTCTTCTTTTTTTCTATCTATTCCTTTCCAATCCACACGTCCAACAATC